CGAAAGGCGCTCACGCGCAAGATTAGACAGTGTTTACGTAAGGACCGCGAAGCCTGGTGGTCAGAACGTGCGTATGAGATGGAGTCAGCTGCTGCATCTGGCAACAGTCGGAAGCTGTTCCAACTCATACGAGCCACCGTCAGCAAGAAACAAGGTGTCAGCGAGACGGTCTGTGAGGCAGATGGCACTCCAATTACCAGCCTGAAGAGACGCCTGGAACGCTGGGCAGAGCACTTCGGGAAGCAGTTCAGCTGGCCACCAGCTTCATTGTCTACTATCATTAGCCCGAGTGCTCCTTGGTCGGTTAGTACCGACCCACCCACCGAAGCGGAGGTCCGTAAGGAACTCCAAGTTCTGAAACGCCATAAGGCGCCCGGCCCAGACAAATTACCCCCGGCTCTTTTTAAAGAGGGTGGCGAGACTCTCATAATGGCTCTAACTGGGTTGTTCAGGAGGGTGTGGGAGACAGAGAGCGTACCATCAATGTGGAACGAAGCCATTATCGTCCCCATCTTTAAAAAGGGTCGACGTAATTCGTGTGACAACCATAGGGGTATCAGTCTGTTACCAGTTGCGTCTAAAATATTGGCTGCTGTCATGCTTCGCAGACTGTGCAAAATACGCGAAGGATTGATTCGCGAAGAGCAGGCTGGGTTTCATTCAGGTCGTGGATGCATTGATCATGTGTTCACCCTTCGTCAGTTGTTGGAACACCGCCACACGTATTGCAGGCCAACGATCGTTGTGTTTCTTGATATTAGGGCTGCCTTCGATTCGTTGGACAGAACTGTGCTCTGGAACTGTCTGTTAGAGAGAGGTGTACCTGAGAAATTTGTTAACATCTTGAAAGCCCTATACAGAAACACCTCAGGTAGAGTGAGGGCATACAACCAACTATCACCACTGTTCCCAACCAACAGTGGGGTTAGACAGGGTTGCCCAATCTCACCATTTCTCTTTAACTTTGCCATCGATGACATTCTGGAGTCAGCTCTGAAGGATGTGCGTGAAGGTGGTGTAGATCTGCTACCTGGAGATAGACTTTTCGACCTCGAGTATGCAGACGATATCGTCTTACTGTGCGATAGCATGCAGGCTGCCCAAATCGCACTTAATCAGTTGGCGATCAGTGTCTGTAAGTATGGTATGTGCTTTGCGCCGTCTAAGTGCAAAGTACTGTTACAAGATTGGCAGGAGCCCGTACCTGCACTCACTCTTGCAGGTGAACCGCTTGAAGTTGTTGATAAGTTCGTGTACCTAGGTAGTTGTGTGAGTGCTGGCGGAGGGGTGACGGATGAGATTTCTAACCGTATAATGAAAGCTAGGGTGGCATACATCAACTTGAGCCACCTCTGGCGCCGTCGCGACGTTAGCCTGGCTGTCAAAGGTCGGGTATACAATGCTTCGGTGCGGGCTGCGCTGCTCTACGCCTGTGAAACCTGGCCTCTCCGAGCTGAGGATGTGAGGCGACTCTGCGTGTTCGATCACCGCTGTCTCCGCAAGATTGCTTGCGTTCGATGGCATCATCGCGTGAGTAATTCTGAGGTTCGGCGGCGTGTGTTTGAACACAGTGGAGATCGCCATTCATTGAATGTCGTCATCTGGAAACACCGGCTCCGGTGGCTTGGGCATGTGCTGCGAATGTCACCCCAGAGGCTTCCGTACAGGTCTCTGTTCGCTAGCCCTGGGACGGGCTGGAAAAGGCGGAGAGGTGGTCAGCCCATGACGTGGCGTCGTGGGATGAAGGATATTTGTGCTAGATTAGCATCGGTTGGTGTGTCACGACTCCCTGGTTGGGGTCTGAGAGATAGCTCAAATCGATGGCTCGAAACGTTATCGGATATGGCCAAGAATCGTAATCAATGGCGAATGTGTTGCGATTTCCTTCTTTCTTCCATTCCCGATGATAGCTAACGAACACTGTTTGAACCTGTTAAGAATGAGTGTTTTCCTTCCAGATGAAGTTCATTATTCGTTCTCTACTTATATATATTTTTTATTTTCCTGCCTTCCTTTTTTTCATGTATGTTGTTTTATTATTATTGTGTGGCGCATCCTTCTTATTGCCATATTGTACCAAGTTTTAATGCGTTTAAATAAATAAATAAATAAATAATCAGCAAGCCGGATAAAGCTGACAGTATAGTTTTACTGGACAAAAGCGATTATGTTGAGAAAATGGAAGGTATTCTGAGTAATCAAACTATATTCCAATCTCTTGGTGTTCCCAAAGACCTCAATGTAAGGGCGGAGAAACTAATGACCGACTCCCTCAAAAAACTGAACCAAATAGGAGTATTATCATCAACCACGTATGAGTCCATGAAACCAACGGGTACCAATACTCCACGTCTTTACGGTCTACCCAAAGTGCACAAACCGGGTCTTCCTCTTCTCCCTGTTTTAGATATGTATAACTCTCCATTTCACGGAACAGTGAAGTGGTTAGTGAAGATTCTGGGTCCTTTGCACAGAGAAATCGTGCAACATAGAATTAGTGATGTCTTCGACTTTATTTCTAAAATATCCGAGACTAATGTGAGGTATAAACGCATGTTATCCATGGATGTATCATCACTATTCACTAATGTACCGCTTATGGAAACAGTAGATTATATTTGTCAAGAAATCACCGAAAGGCAATTAGACTTAGGAATCCCCTTGTGTAGCCTCAAAGAATTACTTCTTAAATGCACAATGAATGTTCACTTTGTCTTCAATAATTCATACTATCGACAAGTAGATGGAATAGCTATGGGTTCACTATTAGGCCCAATATTAGCTGACTTCTTTCTCGCAAAACTTGAAAACGGGAAATTGAAGGACATCATCAATGAGTTTGATATGTATTACCGATATGTCGATGATACATTTATCTTAGCTGATGGGAATGTTAACATAGATGAATTGTTGCTGAAATTCAACAACATCCACCCTTCACTTACCTTTACTTGTGAAGAGGAGCAGGAGAATAAACTGCATTTTCTGGATGTCTTGCTAAGTAGGAGAGAAGATGGGTCACTTGGGAGAAGCGTGTATAGAAAAAGCACATTCACAGGGCAATACACACACTTCCTTAGTTACGTGCCCATTAAATATAAAAGGAATGTTGTAAAATGTCTTGCGAGCAGAGCAAGAAAGATATGTACGGATGACCTCTTACAAAAGGAATTTGAATATATTCACGATTCCTTGACGGAGATGGGCTATCCGAGTAGTTTCATAAAGAAACATATGAAAACATCAGAGAAAAAACCTGAGACTCTGACTGCACGTAAGAAACCTCTATTTATTAAGTTACAATTTAATGGTGACTTATCAAGTGAGATTCTATTCCAAAAACTTTCAAGGAGTATACGAAGAACATTTTACGCAGCACACCTATGTTTGTCATTCTCTAGCCGACGAATGATTGGGACGCAAACGAAGGATAAGCTTGATAGTTTTGCCACATCTATGTGCATTTATCAATTCAACTGCACCTGCGGTGACAGTTATGTTGGGCGTACTACTAGACAGCTTAGCCAACGTGTTAGTGAACATCTCCCATCGTGGTTTGGCAAAGGACAGACAAAAACAATCCGTAGCTCAATTTTGTCACATTTAATTGATAGTGGTCATGTAGTGGAGAAAACGAGAGCCTTCAAAGTAATTCATCGTATCCCACCGAATCTTTCCAATAGACTTCGTATTCGTCTACTGCACACAGCTGAGGCGATAGGCATTCGAACTATTAAACCTAAACTATGCATTCAAAAGAAGTTCGTACAGCCATTATCCCTCCCTTGGCCTATTAAGACATAACCAACTAATGACTTCTACACCACCCCTTGTTTATATTTTCAACCCCTTTCTTATCATCCCTTAATCTTATCACATCTTCATTATAAACGTGTTTCATTTACTTCCCTTACAATCTAACATTACTTAATCGGTTCATTTGTTTTTACTAGCCTTTATCGACTACTTCCACCTGAACAGTTGTTTGTTTAATCATGCTGTTTTTCATTATTCGTGTTATCACAGATTGCCTCACTTTTTCATCCTTATTATTGATAAGACCATTTTTATTATTACTATAATTATTATTATCATTACTACTATTATGACTAATTGCACAATTTATATTCACCATCGTATTATCCTATAGACAAAACACCATGATTGGTTTATATTTGAATTTTTATTTGTAAACTTATATATATTAGAGTTAAGCCTGATGAGATCTAATTGAAACCATATTGTTCGCTTAAATGTGTTGTTCTAAATATCTGTTCTTGTTTAAAACGGTCGGTTAGTAGGTATTTTCCCCCCATTCTCTTCAACACCGGAATAGTGCTACAATGTGTTCGAACTCTTTTAAACAATGTATGCACACTGTTTCTTTTGTGGGTTATCGGGTTGGGTTATTACTACTATAGTTGAGTATTTGTTCTGTATGTGTGTGTTGATTAGAGAGAGACGTAAATTAACAACCAGTCACGCCAGTGGTCTCCAGAGGAGATACATACAATTACGTCATTCATGGGGGGCCCTCGGGACTCTAAGAATCAATGGCTGGAGTCAATAGGTGACATGGCTCAAAATCGTTGTCAGTGGCTTACGCAGATGTATTCAGTCTCTTTAACCTTTCATATTCATTTCTCCCATTACTCATTCTGTTTCACTTTTATACTTATCTAAATTCTATTGATTCTCTTCACTCATTTTCTTGTCTACCTTTGTGTGCTATTTGGAACGTGGCAACTCGAACTGCTGCACTTCGGTGCCAAGTTCTATGTTGAATCCAGCAGCAGCAACGTCATTCATGGAGCACTTAAATAAGTTCACTTTATACTAAAACCTGCGCTGAAGGGGGATGTTGTCTAGAGAAGGTGTACGACGAAAGCTTCACAACTAAATCAACCATCAGCTCAGAGAACATAACTAATTGAAAACCATCCACCTATAAGCTACAAATGGTCTTTTCTGTTTTTTAATTTTCTTTTAAAATTATCTAGAATTTTTATAAAATTGAAAAACACCTCTCAACAAGATCCCGCAGCAGCAGCAACAACAACAGCAAATCCTACAACTGATCTAACCGTCTTAGACTGTTTATACTTACAGATTAATATTCCATCAGCCCTCGACTGTCTATTCTCTACACAAATATGTCATGCTTACAATAGGCTGTTTCACTTTCTCTTCTCTATTCGTCGAACACAATTAAAGCTACAGCAGTATTGGGCTGATCAAATTCTTCTATGGCGTCGTGCTAGATCTTCAGCGTATTATAAGACGAAGAAGAGGCCAGGCAGGAATGCTGATGATGATAATAATATAACAATGTCAAATAGTAATTTTGTTCATTTACAATTGAGAATAGGTCGGCGTTTATTAGTTCGTAATCATATGGCATTTATTATTGAAAATTTATTGTACTACTTACAAGTAAGTAAATGTTTTTTTGGTTTTTTACTCCCAGATTTTTTAAATGCTGTTTGTTGTCATTTGAATGTACTTTTAAATGATTAACATGAGGTGTGATTTAATTCCATTTGATATGAAGTGCTTCTGATGAAATGAGACGTTCTTTGTGATTTCTGAAATGCTTTTCCTGGATGATTATTTCAATATTGTCAAAATCAATTCTGTGGCCTGATTCTATAGCGTGTAGACAAGCTATGGCTGGCTGATGATTTTTCAAGCTTTTCTAGTTCAACTGGATTTCTCGGTGGTCGGACAGACGCAGCTCTACGGTGTTCATTTATTCTGATCACCTTGATTTCTCGCGATGTTTGTGCGATGTATATCCCATCACATTCCAAGCAAGCATTTTATTTTATAGACACAATTAGGTAGAGAATCTTTAGGGATTTGGTCTTTTATATGGACAAGGTTGCTTTGCAGTGTGCGTGTCTGATGTTTTGAAGAAAACTGTGACGTTTTGCTTATTGAGAGTACTCTTCTAATATCGTCTGACGTCTTTAAACACCGTAGAGCATCTGTTCGAACACCGAGAAATCCAGTTGAGCCATAGTAAAGCTTGAAAAATCATCAACCGTGGGTGGTCGTCTACACACCATAGAATAAGGTCAAAAGATCGATTTTGACAATATTGAAATAATTCAGAGCAATTTCAGAAATCACAAAGAACGTCTCATTTCATCAATAGCACTTCATATCAAGTGGAATCAAAATTGTCTGAATTGAATAGGAATGATGGACTAAAACAGAATCTGACCTGGTTAAAACACCTCCATCCTCCATGAAATGACAAAATCAACACGAATGTGATAAGCAATTTCATTATGTAAACACGCGCTGCTTTTACAAGTTTGCACACTTATCAAATCCAACAATCTACACCTGGTTTTGTCATATTTACCAATTGGACAATTTGATAACTCGAAAGTGACCCCATGCTGAGTGAAGGTGATTAAGTTGTTATATATGAACAGAGATTTTGTAAATTCTGGTTTAATAATAACACTTTGATAAAGCTATTAGCAGCAGCCACGTAGGAAGGTGTAGACTTCCTGTTTGGGGTCCCCGGGACGGTAAAAACATGTGGTTGGAAACAATTGGTAATATGGCTCAAAATCGTTCTCAGTGATGGTGCACATGCATCCACTCCTTGTGACTTATGATTTCCAATGAAACCATATTGTTCTTCGTTATTACTATACCTTTGTCTCACCTCTGTTTACTGTCTATATTATGCATTTCTTCTCTTGCTTTGTGTGCTACAAGGAGGGAGTGTGGCGACTTGAACAGCCGCACATATGTGCAAAGTTCTATGTCGAAAACCGACCGACCGATTAGCAGTATTAAATGGGGAAACGTCAGTAAAAACAACAATATCGTTTGCTTCTCATTCATTGGGAAATTATAAAAACCTTTATTATAATGAATATCTTATAACCAATGCACTGTTAAAAGTGAACGTGGTTTGCACATATATAAATAAGTAATTTTAATTGAATTTCTTTAGATTTTCCCGTCGATTGATTGGACCGAAGTGCTCGGTCTCAGGTTGACATGTCGGCTTCTTGTGCAGATGCTTTGACGATGTCTGGGCATTTAATTAGAATTTAATTGGTGGATGGTGACTAGCAGTGGAATACACCAGGATACGCATTTCGTCCTTTTTGGGACTCGTCAACTGGACGTACCTGCATTTCCCAGTGAGTGATGATGTTCCCACTGAGGCTCGAACCCAGTGCCCATAGTTTCAAACGCCGATGCGTTATTCACCAGACCACTTGGGCCACCCGTTGCACAAGAGGTGGCTATCGTGGCCCAAGTGGTCTAGTGGATAACGCTTTGGTTTTTGAAACTATGGGCACTGGGTTTGAGTCTCGATGGGAACATCATCACTCACTGCGGTATGCAGGTACATCCAGATGATGAGTCCCAAAAAGGACAAAACGCGCATCCTGGTGTATTCCACTGCTAGTTACTATCCACCAATTAAATAAATTAGTAATGTTTTTTTGTTCTACGTTTCTTATAGTCTGTAATTTCCATCATTCTTATTCTTTTTTTGTTGGTTTTCGCTTATTTATACCTTGGTGTATCTGAGGCGATTGGATCTTTTACACTAAGTCAGTCCCCTGTTATGCGTGTTAATTTATCATAGATTATTTAGAAATAAAATACAGCCTTCCTTTTGCATAAGTCATTTTAATTTCACTCATTAATGACTTATTAGGTTACAGAACAAAGAAGTTGTTGCTTCATCAACACTGTTGACTGTGACGTAATTTTGCAACTACTTTAGCACTGACTGGTTTCACCGTAGAACTTTTCACCGATGTGCAACGATTCGAGTTACCACTCTCCCTACATGTACCACACAAACCAAGAGAAGAGGGATTTAAAAGAGTAGTAATAAACAGAAATATGAGGCAAAAAGAATAGTAATATGGAAGAACAATATAATTTTACTCGATATTGTAAATCACAAAGAGTGAATGCATCTGCACCGGTCATTGACAACAAGGATTTTCAGACATATCATCTATTGTCTCCAGCCTTCATTGGTTCTTAGCATGCTGAGGACCCCAACCAGTCAGTCAGGAAGTCTATACCTTCCTATGTGACTGGCTGGCTTAAACTAACTGTTATGGACTTCATTGACTGATGAGGCCATGTTGTGGTTTGACCACCACGTGCTAGCTCTTTTCCAACCTCATCAGTCCTGTGTCAGCCAGCTAACATTGCCTGTTGTTGAGGAAGGTGATGGTTAGGCTAGGCATGCGTAAGACATGTCCTAACCATCTCAATCTATGCAGCTGCTTCACAACCTCGTCGATTGATTTGACTTTCCCTCTCCTTGCTCAACAGTCAACGCCTAAACGCAATATTGCTTACCCTATTATACCACCTAACACACACAGGAGATAGAACGTATACACCGATGATGAAACACAGCTAGTCTTTTCATCACGTCTCCCACTTTTAATGGCTAATATGTCCTACTCACAGCCATAAAGGAGGACAGGGCGAACTGCTGAGCAATATACACGTCCTTAAGTCGACAGCCTGATATCACGTCTACCAAACCAGAGATTGCGTAAGTTGGTATATGCGAAATGAGCCTTCTGTATCCGTGCTGAGATTTCGTCAGCGATCAACCCGTTGGGACTAATGAAGCGGTCAACGCGCCCTACCACTTCACTCCCTATTTCTAAGCTAGGAGTGAGTCGATGTAGTCCAGTCCTGTAGCATCATCTTACATTTGGCGGGAGCGAATCGCATGCCATACATTCAAATGTTGCTGCTCAAGGTGTTGAGAAGACTGCATTTTGTTAGCGTCCTCACCTAGAAGGACTATATCATCTGCATATTCTAAGTCAACGAGATTATTCCCTATTAACAAGTCGATCCCTGAGTCACTGAAATCAGCAGTTAGGGTTAACTCTATTGGTACATCTATGATGAAACTAAAGAGAAATGGGGACAGTGGACGTCCCTAACGTACATCACTGGTTGTCATCACTTCAGATGACAACTCTCCATAGACCCTTACCTGGCTGCATGAGTTCGAGTAGGATGCCTTGATCAGTGCAATGTATTTTCTCGGCATTCTATTAGCAACCAAACCTCGCCACAAAAACTCTTGGTCGACAGAATGGAATGCCGCCTTTAGGTCAAGAAATATAACGATTGTTGGACGCTGGTAAGTATGTCTATGTTCCAGAATCTGTCGAAGGGTGAATATATGATCAATACACTCTCTTCCTGGTCTAAAGCCTGCCTAGTTCTCTTGTGTTTGTCCCTCCCGAGCACCGCTTATTCTACTCATGGTTATTGAGCCTAAGACTTCAGCACAACAAAGTACAGTACAGCAGACATATATAAACCTCGTTCAGAAGCTATATGATCATAGCATATTCGTGATTGTGGCAGGCCGGATTATTTGACAGGCTGTGAGAACCGAGAATGCAATTAGTACTAGGCAAAATATTTGTTTTAGTGAACTATTTTATCATTTTTTCGACAGGAACTACTGGAACAGCTGTTTCGTCCTATTTTGAGGTTCTTCAGTAGTATGCACGTAAGATCCCACCGAGAATGGAATCTGATTTTTACTAGTGATTGACAACAGGACAAAGTTTCCTTAGAGTTCTAGGGAAAAGTTGTGACTAGTAGTGGGTGGCTCCACCAGGTCGGGGGTGTAAGGACAAGTACAGATGACGATCGACTGGTAGTGGCACTGAAATTCGCTAATTAACAAGTTAGAATTCATTGACCATTCTTGCCTGAATGGTCAACAAGCTTGCCATGTAACCTGACGGTCCTGGGTTCGATCCCGTGTGTGTGTGGTGGGGGTCGTGGTCGTGTACTGATGAAGAGTCCTAAACAAGGACGAAACAGTACTCTTGAAATCAATCGAATCCTTACAAATTAATACTTGAAAATTGTTTTTTTCTCAAATGCTCAACCTAAGATATCATTTATTTTTCTTTGTCCGTTCTTTATCATATTATTATTGTTATTGCAGGTTGATGTTATTGAATCACAATTCTCACATTTACTATATCGTTGTCAAACAGACCAAGATATCCAATTGATTCAAATCGCTCATGAGGCGTATTTAGCCAGTCTACAAGCACAAGCACTATTATTCATGCCAAATGTAAAACAATGTATATTCAATTTACTCAACACTTGCCGTCAGTTTGTTCATATATCAAGTCAAATCGCCTATGACAGCAGCAGCGACACTGGCGGTGTTTCTCTTGAGAATATCCAGTTGTCTAACAAAGAAGAGCATATCATCAGTGCATTTTATAATCAATCGAAATTGTTATATGAGTTAATTAGTATGTCGTGTTCAACCGGTGCTAAAAGCAGTGTTAGCATAAATTCTGCTTATACTCATCGTTTCTCCCGTGGAAATAATAATAATATTAATAATAATAATAATAATCCTGTTCTGAATTCAGGAACAGCAGATTTAAATCAATTATTATTACGCTTAGATTTTAATAATTATTATAGTAATTTACCTGAGGATTTAATATGAATGAGAATATTGATTTTTGCTATTATTATTATTATTATATTATTATTATTATCTTTTATAAATAATGCCTTTACCATGTGTACAATGATCTATCTTATCATCCGGTGGATTATTGATCCAGCATTTATAATTTAAAATTTTTATAACGTGTATTTTGTTTAAATCATGGAAAATTCCCATTGTAACATGTAGAAAATCAAAACAAATGATTCAGCGAAGAGACGCTTTTCAACGAATTTATCATCAAGCTGTACAATCGTATATATATGGTGCTTTTAAGAAGTTATATCCGATGAGGGAATTGAATGATAGGTGTGAAGGCATAAAATAATAATAATAAAAGTAGTATGAAATGCAATTAAAACTAAACTGTTTGTGATTCTAATCGTAGTTAAATGTCAAGTGGCAAAGCAAATTAATGTCATATATAGAATAATTCATAGGATGGATAGAACTTGTGAAAAGGTGTGCAATTATAAGATTAGTAGACAAATCGAATAAAATAAAAACGTTACGTAATATTGTGTGAAATTTAATGGCATAGAATTTAATGTTGTAAAAAGGAATTGATTTAGAATGACAAGTGGAACAAGTGAAATAATACCGGGGACAATTAAAAGTGAGAGTAGTAATAGTAACAATTGACGTAATAAGGAAGAGAATACAAATTGAATAGACAAAATGATGAAAAATTGGTAGAGCTAAAATATGATTGGGGATTACCATACTTTAGCATAGAGGGATTAAGACCATGAAAGTTGGAGGGTTTGAACGAACTTTTTCTGTACACAGAGATCTGGCTTTTCTGTTTCGACAGCCAAAGATGGCTTCAGCAATACAGATGAGTCGGGTACGTAGGGATTTGGGTAAATTACTCTTTGCCTTGTAGATGACTTTGAAGGCGGAGGCTATAGAGATAGGGTGATCATTATCGACCAGATGTTCAATGATCGCGCTTCTTATTGCTCCACTTCCACCTTTTAGTAACCATACATTCTCTTCGCTGAATCATTTGTTTTGATTTTCTATATTTTGTTTAAGTCATCATTTCGATATTTCCCGTTAATTGATTGAGGCGGCTGTCGTGTCCCAAGTGGACCAAAAGTTTGACGTTTGAAACGAAGGGGGGTGGGGTGGGTGGGTTCGACTTTTTGTGTGAGGACACCGTCAGTCCAGTCACTTGGCTGACGATGAGTCCCAAATAGGGTGAAATGCGCTCTCTGGTGGATTCTACTGCAAGTGTCACCACTCACCAAATAAAATCTTGTTCATAAGGTGGACCAACAAACTTCATCATTCAACAACCAGCACCAACCACCATCAACGAGAGAGAGAGATTTAAGTGAAGTTTTTTCCTTCACTTATCTAGGCAGTAAGCGTCGTTTCAACTACAGGCAGTCACCACGCATGAAGATGTGAAAGTCAGAATCGGAAAGGCAAGATACGTTTTCACCAACCTGAAAGCAGCTTGGAAATCTTCTACACTCAGTCAGCATAAAGAACAGGATTCGGATTTTCAACACCAATGTGAAGTCGGTCCTTCTATACGGGTCAAAAACTTACAGACTTTCATCAACAGCTACCCTCTTCGCTAGCTGGCTCCATACTGAAGATCAAATGGTCAGAAAGAAGTCTTGCAATGAACGAACCAACAAAGAGCCGACGTCTGAACAAATATGCAGGATAAACTGGAGATGGATTGGGCATACATTGAGTAAACCGTCGATTGATATCGCGTGCCAGGCCTTTGAATGGAATCCCAATGGGAAGCTACGAGTTGGTCGTCCTAGGGTGACATGGAGGAGATCGTGTGAGGAAGAGATGAGAGAGTTTGGGCAATCATGGACCCAGCTGAAAAGGATGACAAAAAATAAAAGAAAGTGTAGATGTGTTGTCGGAGCCCTATGTTCCACTCGGAACCCAAGGGAACAATAATAATGATAATTGTAAGGTGTACTTATCTGGGTAACCAGTTAGATAGGCTAATTGAGCAAATTCGAGCTCGTTGGCGATGGGCTTCAGCTAGAAATGATACTCATGATTGTTGTGTGGCCAGAGTACTTGCTGACTTTGTGGCCTGGCCACTAGCTTAAGTGGGCCAGGCTGTTCTTAACACCTCCCCAACTAGAAAAGGGAGAATATAACTTCTTTACGGCTATTCAAGGATGTATTTATTAGCACGATGGTATGAAGTGAGCACAGAGATTCACGATAATCACACCACAACGCACAGTCACGCTGTTATTCCTTGAAAACCCCGTTGTCTGCAATCTGATCCAGTTGGCACAGATAAACAAACTGATTGATCGACCGTTGAAAGCGAAATAGCTGAGATTCAATTGAGTGAATGGAAGAACTTCACTGACCCCCTACAGTTTTATTACTTTTCCAATTTTGGGTTTTTGTAGGGATATTTGATAGTTTCTATATTAATTTTTTTAAATTAGATATATCACACTGTGAAACAGTATTATTTACTAGATGATGTTTCGAACACCATTGTTCTTAATCATATCAATTACAAGTATACAACTTTGAAACTTCCGTTTTATAGTTTTCTTCATTCGTTTCTGTTGATTATGGGGGTAATAGAGTTGTCCGGGTGGACAGGTGATGAATCATTCCTATTACACGTATTTTCAGTTGATTCGATAAATAAAGCTTCCGTTATCAATCTCTCCCTCCACCCTGCTGTTACATTAGTTTGTAAAACTGTCATCTTATCCCATCATCCTATTGTATGATTGTGTGTTATTGCGTATGGTGAGTGGTATAGCTGAACTGTTCACCAGATTTCTTATCTTATTCGAGTCAACTAATCTGCATTTTGCTAGGTTTTCGTGCTTCTGTAGTCTGATTGACGCTGTTCTACTAATTTGACCTGACGATCATTGCAGGCGGTGTATTAGATAAACTAAATTGTTTTGTTTTATTGACTCCACACATGGAAGAGGCGAAATTATACTGCAGATTTTTAGGTATCAAAATAGTCACATTTCAATAGTCTTCCTTCGAAGAGTCAAGTGATGCACACGTTGGTGATGCTTCTTCATTGCAAGTTTGTTGCTTCGACGGCGGACAGGGGTTGGAAGGAGTTTAGGTATCACTAAAAGTTTACCAATTAATATATGGTCAACAAAACAGGTATAACTCCATTATGTGGATAAGATTTTATTTTGATAAAGTCTCACAGTGTGTTATACACTCAGTAATATTTACTGATGACCACGTTTCCAGCACAAATTATTGCCACTGACAATCATGTCAAGGCACTCACTCACACGACTTTCTTGCTTCATTTATATACATGAGTAAACATTGATGCGATGAGACATTTGATTGAATAAAATCAATATAAGATGTTAAAGTACATTCGGAAATAATAATATTAGTGTTATCAATGAAATACAATCAGATGGGAAGGGATTTAAGATGTTTTCATAGTAAAATAAATAACTTGCTTGTTAGAATGTGAATTGAATACATTTTAAGATTATTTATTATCCTCTGATTTGACTGACTGGTGGTAATAATATCTTCCATACATATCTCTGGTATTTGCGTTGAGACACTACTATTTCATGTATTGTGTTGGGTGTAGACTACATGAACCAGGATTCAGTTATCAACCTCGGTCTCTCTCCATCTACCTATATTACCTTTAAGAATTTCGACTCTATCCCACCCACCCTATTGTGTGGTTGTGTGTTAATGCATGCAGTGCTGAGTTTTTTCTAAATTACTTATCATCGTGGGATCAATCATTCTAACTTTAGCTAAATTCGTATGTTCTGATAATCTCACTACTCCTCATATACTAGACTGACCTATTTAGCTGACCTAATTCACAGTCACTGCAAAGTATTTTGTAAATTATATTATTTTGTTTAATTGGATCCACTGGGTGGTTTAACCTACAGAGCTTGTCCTTCCTGACTGAGTTTGTAGGTTTGAACGCCACTCTAATTCCTGCTTTATTAAGAATCCTACCTAGGGCCTCATATGTCCCCTCCTTAAATGGTATAACAGTAGAGATGCCTTATATTCTTTCTTATTTATTTTATCATTATTGGTTTCCCCATTATTTTTATTTTGCTTTCGACCATCTGATTGTACTTCATTGATAACATTTATATTATGATTTCCGAATGTACTTTATCTTATATTGATTTTTATTCAAATGTCTAATCAATTTTACTCATGTATATAAATGAAGCAAGAAAGTCATGTGAGTGAGTGAGTGACTTGGTATGATTGTGACTGGTAATAATTTGTGCTTGAAACGTTGTCATCAGTTAATATTACTGTATAACACACTGTGTGATTTTATCAAAATAAAATCTTATCCATATTGGAGTTGCACTCTACCACAGTGCCCAAGTTTTATACTTATATCAATAAAACAGGTAGAACATAAGGAAATTCAATCGAGGAAGCACTAGATACATATTCTGGTATTAATCACCACTCTCTATTTCTCAAAACGTCGATTGAAAGCATGACGACGATCTGTGCGATCGTCCATGTAAGTGCTTACACAAAAACAAGATCAAAGCTCGGTAGTAACTCGGTTCATAAAGCGTTAGAAAGACACAGTCACGTTTTATTGACCAAGTGGCATGCGAAGAGATTCAAACAGTCTAAAAATTTGTTGTAATAGCTGGGTTTTTTTATAAGAATAAAACTTGTGCACTGTAGTAGAGTATAATTATATTATGTTAAAATTTGTTTTGATAAAGTCTCACAGTGTGTTGTACAGTAATGTTTACTGATGATGACATTTCGAGCACAATTTGGTGCCACTCATAATCATATCAATGGTCGTCAGGGTCAAGCTCTGTAGGTTGAGGGACCCTGTTGACCCAATTAGACAAAACAGTACAATTTACAAAATACCCTGCAATAACTGTGAGTTAAGTCAACTACATAGGTCAAACTAGTAGATCGGGGGTAGTCAGATTTTCAGGACATAAGAATTTAGCTAAGGTTAGGATGGTTGA